GAGATGACTACCGGGAGTCTCTTGTCACAACTCTGCACATGGGTGGCACATATAAGATGGTCGTTTATACACTAGGAACTAGGCAGCAATGCAATCCGGTCCTGTCTGTGCGACTGAGCAGCCCTTTCGAGGAGCCACTCTGCTCACCCCACGTGGGGAGGGGGCTAGAAAAGGTGCCTTAAACATAGCCTGCCTAAAAACCTACCTGACTGGGCAACCGCACCCAGTAAGAACATCCTTATGCGGTCGAAAATACAATCATATTCACAGATAAAAAAAAACTATACAACCTTTTATGGTGCAGAAGCTTCTCACCAAATTTGCAGATGAGGTTGTGGTGATGGTCAGTGAGAGCCAAGAGGGTCAGTGAGAGCCGAAAGGGTCAGTGTGTTGAGCGCTTCTTGATATGTGGAGTAAGAAGGGGAGAGAATAATCTTGCATGCCCTCTTTTGCACTTTTTCTAGGTGTTTGCGTTGTGTGGCATTTAGGGAGGAAGACCAGGTAAGGGAGGCATAGGTGAGCTTGGGAAGTATGTATGCTAAGTAAACACTGAGGAGCTCGGGTGCAGGAACTCCGAGGGAATTGAGTCGGAGGAGGAGGTGGAGACGGAAACTGGATGATTTGACATCTTCACTAACGTGTGGTTTCCAATTTAGTTTGTCGTCTATGGTGACGCCGAGGAGCTTAGTGGAATCTACAACCTGGAGTGTGTTGGGACCTAAAGTAATGGAAGGGGGTTGGACAACGTCGGAGGAGATGTTGATGTGCATAACTATGGTCTTGGTATGGTTGATGGTGACGTGGTTGTTGGTGGACCATTTTTGGAGACTGTTCAATAAATCCTGAAGGGCGGTATAGTCGGGAACAGAATTGTTGACGCTGATCCCAATGATGGAGTCGGCGACATATTTCCAGCGAACATCATTGATAAGCATAAGGAAGCATAGTGGTCCCATCTTGGTGCCTTGGGGGACGCCACAGGTGAGTAACTGAAAGGTGGAAACAGCCCCTCGGAAGCGTACAGCTTGGCATCGGTTACTGAGGAAGTCTGTAAGCCATGGTGTAAGACTTCTTCGAAACCCGAGGTCGATAGTTTTGTTGATTAAATTGTGGTCGACAAGGTCGAATGCCTTAGTCAAGTCAATGAAGGAGACAGCTACAGACGTTTATCGTTTCTCCAGATGGCGGTATATGCGTGTGTGTGTGTGTGTGTGCACTGAAGGCACACTAGTTATGTTATAGTCTATAAAATAGCTTGAGGTAGTATATTAATGTAACTAAGTGACTGGAAAACTTATAAATTTTTATTTTATCTTATCTATTCTAATATTGCAGCTGCTCTTCTTTCTTCTCGCGTAGTGCCTCGAGGTCCAGAGTAGATGGAGTTTATCGGAACAGCTTCCCTCCCTCTCTGTGTCATTCTAGTAAGATTCCGGAAATTTACAGGAGTATTTTCTCTTGCATCGATAATTTAAATAGTAAACGTTTTCAAAGAGCCATCAATCTTAGTTCAGTCGGATTATCGGATTAGAATATCATAATCTAACGTTCTGTAGCTGGAGAGTAAGCACTTGCAAAGGACCCGCCATTCTAAAAGGTTTCTGGTCATCTTACAAGCCAAATAAGAACAATATACAATCCCTTCCCTTAACCTTTCTTTTAACAATATTAAGGACGAAATTGGACAAATGATGGATGTTGGTGATTGTCCCTGAACAGCAAAGATATTTTGCCTCTGGTGTGTGAGAAATTGCTCAATGGGTTCTAAGATCGCCACTGAGACAGATAGCTTAATAAAACTTTGCCCCAACTTACAATTTATACAGCGTCGGAGGATCTTATGGTCGCTTTAACTCTTCATAACTAAACAGTAAGAGTTCAGATTAATGAGCTGAATATTTCATCTTTCCCTTCATATCATAATATAATCTAAGGTATAAACCACGATAGTCAATATTGGGGATGGCGTAATGCTTTTATATTTTGTGGTTTATTTTCCCTTACCCTCATCTAAGACACACTGGCTCATCCAAGACACAACGGCTCATCCACGACACAACATATGGATGACACAACGGCTCATCAACGACACAACGACTCTTCCAAGACACAAAGGTTTATCCACGACACAACATCTCATCCATGACACAACGGCTCATCAACGACACAACGACTCTTCCAAGACACAAAGGTTTATCCACGACACAACATCTCATCCATGACACAACGGCTCATCAACGACACAACGACTCTTCCAAGACACAAAGGTTTATCCACGACACAACATATGGATGACACAACGGCTCATCAACGACACAACGACTCTTCCAAGACACAAAGGTTTATCCACGACACAACATCTCCTCCATGACACAACGGCTCATCAACGACACAACGACTCTTCCAAGACACAAAGGTTTATCCACGACACAACATCTCCTCCATGACACAACGGCTCATCAACGACACAACGACTCTTCCAAGACACAAAGGTTTATCCACGACACAACATATGGATGACACAACGGCTCATCAACGACACAACGACTCTTCCAAGACACAAAGGTTTATCCACGACACAACATCTCCTCCATGACACAACGGCTCATCAACGAAACAAAGGTTCAACCAAGACACAACGGCTCAGTCACACCAACTCAGACAGAAGTGAACTTTAATAACCATGATTATTTGAATATTAATGATGTCATATTTCGGTCTTTACTTATGTCTTTATTATTTCAAGTGACTATAATGTAAACAAGAGAGGTTATAGAGGACGTGGACCAGATAGAGCTGGTTAAAGCTGCTGTGGATAATGATTCATTGTTTACTCTCAGCACCTGTTGACGAACTGGGACGTGACAGGATGTTGTTTTTGTGTTGTAGAGTTGTCACGTACTATTTTCAAGTACATGTACGCAGTTCTCGATCTATTTAATGTTCACTTTTTATTCAATGTCTGTCTACCAATAAACGTCAGGATGAAAATTTTGTCCAAACTTATGAAATATCTTAAATTCTGAATATCGACGATAATTTCATAGAGTAGATTGAGCGATCATTAATGGTGATATAACATCACTGTCAACTGGTTATAAGATTGACCGAACGTAAACAAAATATGAATCACGAAATATGTATACATAAAGTCAATCAAATCCTTGACTACCATTGTATGTGTGGTTAAATTTGAGACTTTTAAACCTTCAGATCATTAGGTCACATTATAATTATCTACTTCTTAACATAAAAATCTTTGAACGTCAAGTTGAAGACCAGTTTTTAAACCATCTAAAATCTCTGTAAACTTCTGTAATATTTCTGAAACTTTGAATAATTTTGCAGAATTCTATATTATTGAAAAGTATCTATTAAGCTTCTAAGTCTGAGTTGTAAATGGTTTTAAATATTCTTAGTCTATTTCTTTTAATTCTTGTACATCTTTTGATTCTTCGTAAACATTTGTAGGTCACCCAAGCCTTTGTAAAATTCTACGATAATTTAAGCTTACCTGATATATCCCACAGACCTTAATATTTACACCTTTGTCTTCCCCTCTCCGTTAGCGTCCTTCACCTAAACTAGGAATCGTGTCAGTATAGCCAGGTGTTCTTCCTACACGTGAGCCAGGCAGGGCTTCACGTGGTGTACCTGTCAATAATTCATGTGGCCTCGGGTACCTGACGTCAATGGAGTGCTATAATACTTTATTACGAGTCAGGTACATCGACTTACTGTGTGTGTGTGTGTGTGTGTGTGTGTGTGTACGTGTGTGCGTGTGTGTGTGAGTGTGTGTATTGGTTGGCATGTGAATCAGAATGTGAGTGTAATTCTGTTATGTCTACTCAACCAAATGCCACTACAGACCCCCCCCCTCTTTACCATATACACACATACAGGCTTGAAAAACCAACAAACTCATGGTAAACTGTAAACCAAGCCCATCACGAGATTTTCTGTCGAGTAAACTAAATTTGTACTCTTCTTTTTTTCCAACCTGCCAAGAACCCATTATTTGTTGGGGAAATTTTGAAGTGTTGATTATCTAAAACTAGGAAGGGTAGTGAGTAGTCTACAGCGTAAACATGACATTTGGAAACGGGAATTTTCTGATGAAAAGGTTGGATTTATCCATATGTTTTGGGCTCTCCGTCAGGAAGCATGACGTAACACGAACTGCATTGGACATATAGACGCGAGTATAAAAGCACAGGACGTTACTGGGGACGGTGTAGACCACTCCTTGAGGGCGCCGTGCTCCAGCTGGCGCAATAGCCAAGACCACGAGGTAGGGACACGAGAAAGGGGGATCAAGTGATCGAGCCCCAGTAAAGGGGAACAGAGGTCACAGCACTAGGTGACAGATACCTAAGGTGTGATTGAACTGATATCTAATAGTAGTAAGTTGAAGTTTGTCGTAAGTGTTGCAGAACCGAACGTAACACTAGTTCGCCCAAATTTAATGACAGTTATCAGGACCCTAATATAATTTTGACACACCTTAAATTAAATTAATATCCTAGTCCTAACTTAAAATAATTAACTAAACACAAAGATTAGTTACTTAAGCCCTAATTTAAACTAACCTTAGCATGATTTAACTCAGTTCTAACATAAGTTAAATAAACCCTAAGGAGTGTGAACCTACTGTCAGCGTCTAGGTTTTGATATCATTGTTGACAGTAGCTTACCTGGTTGTGCTGTGTCAGTCCCGTGTGTGATGACGACCATATGGTAGTCTTAATGTCTTTAAAACTCTTATGAATGATTAATTGGTTACATTACACTTATGTAATATTCATTCAACACCTGGGTGAGCGTCTCACTCATTTCTACATGTGGAAATATTTTTTTGACCGGCCGGGTTTTAACGCCCCAAAAGAAACAAACTTGAAACTAAACCTTACCTACTGTAGTAGCTAAACAAATCAAATTTAAGTTATCAGGTGGCTAATACTCCAAGTTCAAATACTTACTCATTTCTTCCATATTTTCAGAATGTTATGCGTGAGGATCCTTCCAGACGATAAAGATGAGGCACAGCGTTCACCTAGCACTGTTTATGACCACACTGAACCTTGCCCTGGTCTACATGACTAAACACATTTGCAGGTGAGAGTCTTTGATCTGGTCATACTGCAGGAAACTAATCCATATGTTGGTCTTATGTGGCTATACTGATTCGTACTGTGTTATACTTGACTTAACACCTAGATACTGCATGCTATAAGGTTATATTGTATTGCATTGTATAGTGAGCAAACAAAATCTATTTACTCAGTTTTAGCTGATTAATTTTTAAAGCTGGCGAAACATAATCAAAGATCTACCTCGACTACATATGAACAGTTGGTATGTCTGACTGGGTAGCATGATTCATCTGAGACGAGATTGCCTCTTTATAAGGAATATGAACCACATTATGGTTCGGAACATCACAAAATGGTTAATGTGGTAAACTGTATATTTCACAGTCATGGTAAATGGACACTAGGAATATGCTAAAAACTCAGGCTCAGTTCCCTCCAGGCCCGCCAACTGTTCAGAACTTTCCCAGAGAGCGTGTCAGAAAGGCGACGATACATTCACCCAAAAACTGTAAAGATACAGGTAGTTCTGCCGCTCACTGTACATTGATCATTATGTTTTTATACTGTCTATCCTAAACTTATTTTGAATTTGTTGGGAGTTTTTGTACTAATTTATTTCAGGTGTTGTGAACTCTACTCCTCCTTCGTAACGAAATCATCCTTAACAACTAACTACTAAGCCACCCCTCACAACCACTCATCCATCTCATCACTACTCTTACAATCACTCACCCCCACGACTCAAACCTCCCATCACTACGTCGCTATCACCCTTCCTAACCCCCCCCCCCCTTCATATCCAATAACCCTTCACTTAATAACTGCTCCTTACCCTCCTCCCCCATCACAACTACCCATCCCCCCCCACATACCCACTGCTCACAAACACGTTCCTTAATTAACCCATCCTTTAAAAACTTCGTGGCACTATTATTTAAGTCACATCCTGAAAAATAACCCAACTTTTTAAATTTGTGTAAGTAATGTCTCGCGTATGTCTTAGTATTATGGAGTTTAAAGACGTTTCTTCTACGGCAATTGTGTTACCACGAGAAGGAGGTGGGGAGGGGGAAGGAGGGAGAGGGGGGAGGGAAAGGGGGCGAGGGACTTTGTGATTATAACCTAGGGGGAGGGGGGGGGGGTAGTGAAGATGAATTGGAGCAGTTGTATAATCTAGTGTTGGATTTCAGTCTTACTAAATCCAATTGAATTTTGGTCTCCTATGGTTTTGTCTTAGGCTGAGATTCGATATTATGGCTGGAAGGTTCATTTGGATGGAAATTTCATTTGGATGAAGGGTTCATTTGGTGAGAAGGATCATTTAGATTGAAGGTTAATTTGGATGGAAGGTTCATTTGGCGAGAATTATCATTTGGATGGAAGGTTCATATGGCTGGAAAGTTCATTTAAATGAAAGGTTTAATGAATCCAAAGGTTCATTGGTATAAACAAATGTGAAATATCGGCTCCCAACTGAATAGGGACACATTGTACCTTCATCTACTGTACAACAGAAGAAGCCCTATAGGTTAGGTGAGGCAAGATACGTGGCTAAAGAACCGGTCTATTATAATGCTCTTCGTTGATTTACTGTTTTGGGGAAAGTACGGGATGATCGAGAAGTTCCTGTGCACCTGTAAGATTAATTACTCACATTGTTTTAAATAAATAACTAGGTTGTTAATTATTTCAGGTGCACAGTGACTTTTCGATCAACTTGTACTTTAGTCAGTCGTCCAAGAGTCTTAGAATATGATATCAAGATCCTATTACGATTATGATTAATATACAGTTAACCTTTGTAATACTTTTGTAAGCCATAATAGGTGTATAATATTCTTTCGTTTATAATCAGTCTCCTAGATTAATAGTCTTTCACTTATTATGACCTTTTAGACGTAATTTTTCCCCCAAATTTTCTTTAAATTAACATAAAATGAGTGTCATTCCCTGACGAGTTTCTCAGCCGCTCATTAGCGAGGTCTTGTGCTGGGGACGAAGGGTGGCTTATCAGAGTCCTGATTTTAGCTCCTTTCAAAAGAAATTTAACTCCATAATTTTCATCTTTTTTTCCTTATTTCTGCTCCCGTTTAAAAAAGGAAAACCTTGTGTACGCTGTTTGTTAGTCTGGCTGTGGAAAATCTCTGGGTTTTAAGTATGACATCGATTTTAAGGAGATGAAATTTAGTTTTAGTTGATTATAGATGAGCTTAGTCCCACTTACATGAAGGTAACATTCACTCTTGTAGGTAAATACCATCACTGTCATGCTGCCAGGGAACATTATTATATAACTATATCCAGAGTGACTCGAGCTGAATCTTTGTTATACGGGAGAACTAAATTGCAGCATCATTTGTATTCTCATCCATGATCCCAGCACAGGGAATGTTCGTATAAACACAGATCTACTCTTCTTGTATGCCGTGTAGTGTAGTGTAATGGGGTTATCATCACGTGGTTTTCTCGGTGTTATTAGATGCTATTTTTACTGTCAGTCATGTACACTGTTGAAGGTTTTATTATGTAGGTTTGCAGTATATCAAGAATATGAGACACAGTAATATTTTTCACAATACTTATTTATTCCTTCTTCCTGTTAAACTGAAGTTCAATGAATAAATAAAAACATTAATCCGATTCTTAACTTTAAATGGTAATGCTATAATCAACGAAGGATTATCCCACCCCCCAAAAAATTATATTCAAGCAGAGATTAACCACAACTTCCCAACTCATGTTTTTAACCCAATAGTTTTATACCTTTTCTTATTTACCAAGTCCAGTCACTGTTTCTTTCTCTCGCTAACATGTAGTACAGCAGGTGAATGTTTCTCCTGTAAAGAAGCCAAAAGTGTTATCTCTGCCAGTGAGGCCTCCTGGCATCACCAAATCACACATCCTTCACATCTCATCTTTCAACTTCTTCTTCTTCTTTAGATACAACTGCATTGACCTACCCCAGGAAGAGCTCTCATCCCATGTGTCTCAGGGGATCATCTCCAACAGGGCGCACTGCATACACTGCTGCCCACACAGTCTCCTGGGCTTCCCCGTCGACCAGTACCACAACCACTCCTTTAACATCAGCTGGTGAGGATACTGGGTTGTCATCTGATGGGTTAATGGATACCCTGATGAGTTTTACATTAACTGATAGGTTGATAGGTGGCTTAATGTTTGTCTGGATTATCTGATGATGGGCTTGTCATAATCCGATGAAGATCTGGGCGATATGATGAGTTGATGGATTGATTGACAACTCACTGGGTGATCTGATAGTTTTTAAAGATTAGATTAATGAGTTGGTTACCTGACTAGTTGATATAAAAGTTGATGGGCCGATGGATTGCCAAGACCCGATAGATAAATAAAATAGTCGAATTGGGTGATGATTCTATTCTACCTTCTGTATTTTCATTAATTCCACGTTTTAATTTGCGCAATTATCCACCAAGAAGGATCATAATCTCCTATTTCTGCACCTTTCAGGAAGTTCAATGGCAAGGAGTTTCTACCAAAGAGGAACGGTAATTCCTTCAAGGCGCTTCTAGACAATATGACCTTAAAGTCGAAGCATGTAATGGTAGGGGACGAAGGCGTCTACACCTGCACCGTCAAGGACACCAACGGCACCTCCGTCACCAGGAACATCAGCCTTTGTGTCAATGGTTAGTATGAAGAGTTATTTTAATGTTGCTCTTACCTACCTAGACTGTCCAAAAAAAGATCGAATTAATAATTAACAGTATGTATTAAATAACAACTAATCCATGGTTAAAGTAATTAATGGTATAGACTAAATATTGTACCATAGATAATGAAGAATGGATGGTATTTATGTATAATGAACAATATACGATATGCAACGAATACCAGATTTTGAATAACAAGACAGTAGTGACCAATAAATGACATGCAAAATATCTTAGAAAAATACGAACAAAATAAACTCTCTTTTACTGCACATTTTAAACGCAATCCACATAGACACAGGATATATTTGATGTAATATAGAATGGACATCTCATCACACGCTCTGCAAATATGACGGCAGTAATGTGTGTAGTAGCTATGTATATATATTGGCATATTAGATGATCGGCTGGAACAGTATTTGTAGTCCCTCATATTAGAGCGTGAGTCATCAGTGCTGACTTTGAAACGGATGTCAATAATGTTGGTGTTTTAACTCTATTTCATGGATATAGTTGAAAAAATAAAACTAGTCGCTTGTATAATGTACCTAACCTCCTTTATGTCTCACAGCGAACGAGGATACAGTTGGTAATCAATTCTCTTCGAACGTGTCAAAAGGCGCTTCAGTCCTCCCAGGCGAGAGTGTCACCTTCACCTGCTCAGGCTACACAGGGAGTATCAGCTGTCATCTCCCTCAGGAGCATAACATTACCTGGACCAAGAAAGCCCTAGATGGTTCATGGGTTCCTGTAGGTCTCCTGCGACACGTTCATACCTCCCAACATGAGGATGAGTAAGGATGGTTCCAGTTATACTCACATAGTGTTGATAACTCCAGCTGTTAGGACGCCTACAGATAGTAACAATCAATCAGACTTTACTCTTAGGCTATATATTTTTTGTTGTTGTTGAATATATACGCAGTCATTAACGTTTTATGATTGGGTTTTACTCTGCAATCATTCGAATTGTGAAATAGTAAAGTACATAAATTATGAAACGGGCATTACTGTTACTTCTACAGTATATAGAGAAAGATTTTTTAATCTAAAATATTAGACATGTAGCAATCAGCAGTTACAGCACCTAGTTGGGGAGAATTGAGAGATATTGAGAGATCTTCCCCCAGGGACGAAATAATGATGAACCACCTGAAGATCAGTAAAGTCGAGGAGGATCACTACGGACTCTACCGCTGCACCTTCACCAACCACAACGGTCACTTCATGGTCAACGGCACACTTCTCAAAGGAGGTGAGTGATGCGCTGTAATATGACTGATGGTTTTGGTAATGACTTTTACTCCCACAATGTTGCCTCATGGTGATGGAGCTGTTAATGTTGTTAATTCTAGTAGTAGTAGTAGTAGTAGTAGTAATAGTGTTATTATCATCAATATTATATCAGACACGTCATTAATGATGGCATTTCTTGGTGTTGGCACCAAGACTGACTCAACTATCATCACTCCCTCTATTGTTATTAATACTGCCACCATTATCACTACTACCATTAGTGTTATAAATACTATCAGTCACATCACTTCTATTACTACACTAGCCATCTACCACACCTCTAACATTGCCTGACCTATTTCAGTGGTGGGGAAGAAACTAGTGATTGGACAGTACAAGGCGGTGGTTTTGGTGGTGACGATCTTGACGGTGTTCCTGGTGGTGGTCTGCTGCGTCTGTCCCCGCTCCAGGCTTGTCATCGCTCTCTACTGCAGAGGCAAGAGCGCTCCTTTCCCTCCAGGTACTTCCTCAGGCACTGCAGCCAGTCTTTTAGCCTTACTCTCAACGTTGGTTTGGGGTTCCTCAGCTGTTAAGAAGATTAGTGAGAGATTACTGTAATTCATATTGATCACTGATCGATGTCATTCAGAGATAAAACGCTACTTGTTTTCAACTGCAGAATCAAATTCACTTCAGCCGGCATGACATAACCTAAATTCATTTTCCTAGTAGCGCTGAGAGCTATTACATAAATAATGTTGCAGCTTTAGAAAGTCTGGCCAGGACGAGTTGTTGTCAGTGCAAAGAGTCTTGCTTATTTGGGATATATTGTATATAAAGTCTCCTTCCAAATGTTTTGAGTTTCCGTTCACTTATACAAGGCCTCCCTCCCTCCACTTATATAAGAGCTCCCTCTACTTATTTAGGGCCTCCCTCTCCCACTTATATAAAGCCTCCACACCTAAGTCTCAGCTTCTTTTACAGGAACTTCTCTATACGAGGCAAATGGAGTCTGAATGTAACACTTTTATTATCTCTCTCTCTCGCTTTCTCTCTCTCTCTCTTCTCAATGTTTCACTCACACTTTGTTTACAGCAGCTCCTCCCTCATATGTGGCTCTCGGAATCAAGGGTTCAGAGGCAGGGCAGCCAGAAGGGAAGGATATCAGCTCTCTGCCTCTCCTACAGTGTCTTCAAGTTTAATCAACGTGTTGCTAGTCATTATGGCGAAGATGTCTAAAGAGTCATTCTTTATGTTTGATGTTTTGATGGTGTGAGAATGTAAAGATATAGGCTACTGTCTGATCTGATTGTATGGTTATATTTGTTCTCAAAATATATATGTACATAGTTATTATTATTCCACTGTGATAATTTTATTCCATTATGATTATTTTATTTGTGGGTATATGAATGAGATGTAGATTTCTAGTATGTATAATTACGTTCATATGCCAAGAAAACATTGTTGGAACGGTGATATATATATATATATATATATATATATATATATATATATATATATATATATATATATATATATATATATATATATATATATATATATATATATATAGACTGTTTAATTGTCTGCCTATCTTTGTTAACCAATAAGCCGCTAGACAGTCCTTAATTGTGGGTCATCCCACATGATTTAATCTGACAACCCCGGACACTCACCCTCCCATACCACCCACTGTCCTCCCCATATCACGAAATGAACAAGACATTTATAAAACAACTAAAATATCTTCATTGAACAATTTGTTTTTCTATAAATGTGTTCGTGTAACCTTCATAGTCTACACGTGTTTGTGATAACTTGTAAGTCGCTGAGGCCATCCAGGCAGTCATACGAACACCAGCAGAGAAGTAACACTAATCTTTGTCCAACACAACGCTGGCTTCATCTACCGCCCGAGACTCGAGATTAACGTGACCACTTTAGATACTCGTACATGACACAACAACACAGAAGTTACATTTGCCTTTTATTTTACACAATTTCGTATCTACGGATTTCATCTAACTGTAAGATACTAAGATACATCCTTCGTCCGGATCATCCAGTCGCTAAATATTAATATAAATAAGCAAATTTATAACAACAAGGCCTCAGTAAATAAGCACTCTGTTTTATGAACAACATAAAGTATAAAAGAAATAAGAGATTCCTCGCTGGTATCATTTGTGAGCCATAACAGAGACTTAGTGTCCAGACTCGGCTTGTGACCGCAGCAGCCACCACAACTCTCGCCACACAGCGTCAATACTGTGTTCTTCCTCCCTCGAGGACTTCTTATCTTTGTCTGTCTCTGGGTTTATGTTCCCTGATGATCGATACTTTGGGAATCATGAGTTTAGGTGAATTCCCAATTGATGGCTGGTTTGTGTTTTACTTTATTTATAAATAAAATTTATTGACAATTATTAAAAAAAAAATCCTAAGCGAATGACACCTTGTTTAGTATAAAATTATGACGATAATTTGGATGTTTATATTTTCATCCAAAATTTAAAAAGAAGATTGACAAAAAAACAGTGCCTCTCATACAACGTGAAACGATTTGACACACACACACACACACACACACACACACACACACACACACACACACACACACACACACACACCCATCTGGATATAACACCTCGTAGATTCTATGATTTTTTGCCCACACGAATATCTTATGTATGAATGTCAGATAGGAATAAAACATTCAGAGGAACAAAAAAATATAAAACGAGTTTCCTTTTGAAGTTTCAGCATAAATAAAAAAGACACGCATGTACATTTGATCTGGAAATAACACATTGTAGATTCCGGGACTTTCTGCTCAGACAAAAACATCACACGCATGAATGACACACACTTTATGGCCTCACCAAAAACCTTGCAAGCATCAATCACACACACACAGGACTATGTGACTTTGTATTCACCGCAGCAGGACACACTGAACTAAGGCATCAGGTACAAAATTCTGATGAGATTTTCATTACTACAGTCATGCATGCGGGCGAAGGAAGGTGTATATCAGACAGTCAATATTCTCTGGCTGGAGAGGTCCCACGTGGCAAGGTTGACAAGTCACAGAGTTGTAAAGTTTATTCCTTTCGGTGTTACGAGACTGGCTGCTTTGTCCAGGCTGCGAGGCTTGGGGGTACACTCGTTGCTTATTTATATTTTTCTCTCTGTCTTTTTCTTTAATTTTTCTTTGTCTGTCCATTTTTAGTTAATTTCTATTTCTGTGTTTCTTCTATTTTTTGTCTCACTTCCTTTGTTCTCTCCTTCTTTGTTTACTTTCTCTGTTTTTCCCCTTTTCGTTTGCCTTTTTCTTTCTTTATTTATCACTTTCTCTCTTCCTTTTCCATGCATCTTATACACTGTCTTCCTCTCTGTAATTACCCAACGGTAAATGCATATTTGGATTAACGAACAGCCGCAAGATTTGATTTTTTTTTTATCGAATCTTCAGCTCTAGTCGATGGTTATTACACCTGTATAAATCTCTGTTTCCTTCCTGACCTCTCCCCAGTTATAACATAGACAATATATACAAGTTTATATAGAAATATTAACTTTGGCTTTTCCTGGACCTAAACAGCTTCACGGTATATTACGGTTATATGTATGATAATGAAGCTTGCATTTGATATTAATTGAATATTAGTGCTGTCATTATCATCAAGGGCAGCACAGGCAGTCATCAGCGACAAGTCAAGCATTTTATTATGAACATAGAAATTCAATTATCTGGTACTCAGGCTATTTAATGAAGTCATAATTAATTGATGTAAATAAATACGTACACAATTTTACACTCGGTACAGTTTGAGGCCAATTCTTGGTGAGTGATTGGACGAGCACTGGCCAGACTATTGAAACCTGTAATAGGTCTAATGGAACCCAGGTGAGGCAGTCTTTGATCCTCTTCTCATAGAGTGAATCACCAAGAAACATTATTGTCTTCACTGTACCCATGAGCATTTACTGAGTTCAATACGAATATACGAGTATATCGAGTCCTTTATCTCCCTATTAAACATAAACAGTTCTTTCCGCAATATTTGTATCTGCTATAGGTATATTCTTCTCCCAAAGGATAGTTTAATTTCTTCTCTTACGAATACTCAGACGGTAGTAATGGAATTTCATTAAATTTTGTTTAATTATTCAATCACTGGCATCAAATTGACATGAAGTCGCCTTAGGGCGTACACGCATCCATCTAACGTTAATACTATAACACTTTTGATATAATTATTAAAACAACATATTTATCAGGAAATATAAATGCTGTCCATAAAGTTGAACTAAAAAAAAATTATTCTCTTACAACTTAATTTATGTATTGATTATATTATCATACTTATAACGTGCAGTAATTGTATTTTAACTGATGCTTGAAACAATTACCTTCAGTTACATGAATATCTACTAATTTTACTCATTATCACTAAGCATAAGAACACTTTAGACTTTAGTGATCATATGATAAATATTTACCAATGGTATGTTTAACAAATATATTAGATTCTGTCTGTTGCTTTGGTCGCCATGCTGTGAAGGACTATTGGATGTAATACTAACAATCCTGATAAAATGTTCTTGATTGTATTCAGGAAAAGAAACATTTTAGTCCAGCATACACTCTCTCTCTCTCTCTCTCTCTCTCTCTCTCTCTCTCTCTTCCTTTATCTTTGTCAATAGAAGGCCTTTTATTCCAAGTCAGAATAATCCCTGGAAACATATACATTGAATGTTGCTGTTCAGATCTAGGAAAAACGATACTATTTTGCTTAACTTTTTAGTCTCGATGCTGTATTGTTTCATCAAAGCCAGTCTGTGAAACATTTCATGACACATACAACATTTACACCTGTACTGACATAATCAAGCAAGTAAAGGAAGGTGAAGTATGAAACACGGACGAGAGTCTCACCTGGAGGAGTTAGAAGGCACCAGTTTACCTGTCGACCTTGTTTATCTATAACGTCGCACCTGGCGTCACCTTCCAGCATCCGGCCTCCTTCTTGGTGATGGGACATATCGGATGTTTTTCTAGAGGCGGGATGAGACCACGATAACTGGGGGGCCTCTCACAGGTGTTCCCTACCTGAGGAGAAGGGAGGGGCAAGTCTCCAACTGAATGTCTAAGGCAAGCGTTTTACCTGAAAAATTGGAACTCTTTAAAGTTTGTATCAAAGTCCGTATAAAGAAAATTATATTATAAAAAAAAATCATATTTTTTTACAAGAACACAAGAACTGTTTAAATGTTAATATATATTGAAAGGTGCAGACGAAAGTTCCTTTACTGATGATTTACCTGGGTATGCATTCTGAAACATTAAGCTTCCCTCTCAAGTGTCTAAATGAACCCTGAGAGTTTCGTGATTCATTTTTTGGTGTAATAAACTTGTTTCTATTACGCAGTTAGGCTCAGAGGTGTGTCCCTGTGTACGGATGTGAGACGGCGGTGACACCTTACTCGTAAACAATAACAATGTGTTGACGAAACTGAGCGTGTTATTTTGGTGACATAGTCTCCATGCATCTTATCCAATGTTGACTCATCGTAGTATATATTTTATCTTTGAAGGAGTCAGGAGTAAACACACACACACACACACTTTCTCTCTCCCTTCATTCACAGGCATTCATTAAGTCATCCTCCCGTGCTAATGGGCGTGTTCTGGCATGGTGCTCCCAATAGTATTTAGTACATTATAGTAGATATGGATCATGGCTCATAGGACCATTATGATGATGTACCAAAAGTAAGACAATATCTATACTTACAAAGATTCGGTAACCTAATGTTTTCATACGAACGAATTTAAAGAAGAAAGCTGTTCTATTATTTAGTTTCTTAAGACCAAGGTTAATTTTGTGTGCCACTTGGACATGAATTTACGTTAAGAGGAATTAAGCAAAGTGATTATATAGAGTGTGATTAAAATGAAAATGTTTTAGTATAACTTAAATGACCTGTACGGACATGTAAGGTCAAAGGAAGTCATAAAAATCGAAAATATGAATAAAATATGAAGGAAACATTCAGGTAATTGAAAATAAATCTAAAAATCTGGGTGTGTACGGATGATAGAGTGTTGATATTTACTCGGTATGATGGATGTGTATCTACGGATAATATGATTTTGAGGATGTGGAAATAATTCAAATCGACAAGGAACCATAAAATGCGTTCATGAAGTTCCTATGACGCTCGGGAAAAATATATGAGTTTGCAACATTATACATTTTTGTGATCTGGTTAGAATGATGAACAACTACTGTGGCATTAAAGGCGCTGTCATATGGCCGTCGACGTTATCTGTCACAGCGAGGAATTACTACTAACTTTGTGTGTTTATTATTGAAATAGACTTGAATAGACCAACAAACATATCACTACAAACTTAATCTATCATTATTGTTAAGAATAAAATGGATTAATTCATTAAATCCCAATCTTTTTCTATTCTGAATTTCCCTACTGGTATATAGCTGTCAACACTGAAGGTGTATTTTATCTATTAATTGACAGTATAGACTCTACTCACTTTTCAGGCTGATGCGACACGAAAACTAATGCTCAGTATATAACCTCAGTCATCGTCAAGTGTAGATCTTCTCTGTCTAGCTCTCAGTTCTCTGGCGTCACGGCGGATGATCTGTAAAGAGAAATTGAACGATAGACACATACAATGTTTGTGACTTTTATCATTGTTGTTAAAATTCCGAATTTCTGATAAATACAGTGAAATGACGCCCCCGGGATTAATGAATTCTGTGGTTTGATAAGGGAAATTTACTATAACTTTGTAAAGCAAATTAAATTATAAACACAATGACTATCGCACACTAGAGAGCTTGTCTGATCCCACCTATAACCCACAATGACACCGTTATAACCCACCATGACACCATTATAACCCATCATTGCACCATTATAATCCCATGGCACAACTTAAACCCACCATGGCATCTCACAGATGGGTTCCAGTACGACGTGTTGGTGATTCACGGAGACTCAGCTTCCCGCTGGGTGTGGACGGTGCTGCTGCCAGCGCTGGAGGACGCCTGCGGCTACACCTGCTTCCTTCCGCAGCGAGATATGTGTGGCGGCGACAGTGAGTTTCTCTCTCTATATACCTGTTGTTTACTGCACCTGCTCTTCTATAGCCTCGATCTCCATTCTAATTTCCCCTTCGGAGATAATAACCAATTTTACCAACAATTAATAAGTATAACAAACTGCTGTATATTATTTTTCCACAATAATTTCTACTAGTTATAAACAATGATTATATTAGATAAATTCATTTGTCATTGCCTTTCCCTTTACCACATACGTGATAAACACCAACACTGTCAACCTTGTGTTTCTTAAGTGTATATTATGAAACTAATACTCTTACCTATAAACGTTTCCATTGTTCTTAGTAATTAGAGACCAAACACTACCTGGTCAACTACTTCCATACCTTATGGCTGACCTGTACATGACGTAATTCTACAGTATACGATATATAATATTTCTCTGCCTTTCTTACAGTGATGATTGAGGTAATGGCAGAAGCTGTGTCCAAGTGTCGTCGTGTGGTGGTGGTGGTGACGCCGTGCCTACTGGACAACCCGTGGGCAGCCTGGGCTATGTTCCACGCCATAGATGCAGCCATCAAAAACTACTCTCGCGTCTTGTCTCTTGTTCTCAAGGTAACATTATAAGTGTCCCAAATACCTAGTTCATAAATTACCGTTCAAAGTTTTGTTGTGTGTGTGTGTGTGTGTGTGTGTGTGTGTGTGTGTGTGTGTGTGTGTGTGTGTGTGTGTGTGTGTGTTAAGGAAATATATTTACAATGGGTGGAGTAATTGTGATGAACTTTTCCTATTGGGCTGATTGTTGGCCATGGATGAAATATTTTAATTTTAGTGACAGTAAGTCAAACAGTAAGATCTAAGATTAACGAATAATGATCTACGCCTGATTCTTTAACTTTATGTCCAAGATAGAGATAGAAAGGTAAATTAGAGAGATACACAAATAGACAGATAGATAGATTAGGCAAAAAGGTAACGAGATAAATGGATATATCAGCCATTAAACCTTTATAATCTACCTCATGGTTCAGGACATCAAGACAGAGGAAGACATCACTGATCCTGGTGGTATCCTGGGCATCCTGAAATTAGTGAGGAAGATCCATGTTCCTTATTCGTGTGCCTGGCCGGAAGAAGATCAGCCCATCCAGGAATCTTCTCCCAGGACACGCGAGGAGAAGAAGAAGGAGAAGAAAACTAGCAACGCCACCAAAGACACCAGAAGCACCGTGAGACCTGCCTTAAAGCTGAGGATTCCTAGAGACGAGACTCAAACTCTTAGGTCAAGATCCAAGTCTCCGAAGAACCAGCGACTCTTCAACATGATCACCGGGAGCAACGAGGCCTCCAAGAAGACACTGGAGGCCGACCAGAAAGAGAAAACGGAGGAAATCGGAAGTCATGTCATGTACACGGACCAGGAAAACCAGGAAGAACCAGGATCCCCGAGTTCCATCACGCCGTTCATCTTGTCCCCCTGCAAGAAAATACGTAGTGCTGCAGGTCATTCCACGGTCTGTATGGGGAAAGTTTTGTCGTTGTCTATAGCATAAATTTCTGTCTTAGTCCCCTACATTAATTATCTTTTTCTCTTGCTCAATTTTGCCAAGTATTTGCATTTTATTTTATCAGTTAAGTCTGTGATCAGTGTGGGAATCTCAATACAACTTACATTACTGTGAATTAAACAGTATGGTCACACTCATACTGTACTGACACTGTTACTCATTTCTGAAGATTACTAAATGAGTCCCAGGTAAAGATCATAGACTTCCAATTAATTATAATATTGGAATTAATGTGAAACGCGCTCCTTATGTTTCCAAAGTTGTATAAATTACCTTGTTTTATGAATTTATATTGATGAAAAACTAACTCCTATTTCTCTCTAATAGCTGACTGACTGTATGAAGATTCTGTGTTCCGGAGACCAGGAGAAGATCTTCTGGAAAACAGTTCGCGTTCGTCTCGGTCCTCCCCTACAGCACCGTCTGAGGAACTCTTTATAGACGACGACTTGACTAGTGATAAAACACGGGTTTATTAACAACTTTAGCGATTAAGAAAAAAAATTAAGTCACTCTGGAAATAATCTTGTGATACATAAAATATCGAAAAATTATGTTAGTTTAAGGCGTATAACGTGTGAGAGTGAAGATGTTAGGTGATTAGTGATGGGAATGTCAAGAAAATGCCCTGGTAATTACTGATCTCATGTGTAGAGTACACGCCTCCATTACTATTATTTTAACATGGTTCATCGTTACTGCAGTGTATTGAGGGAAGAGCCGAGTACCTTGGTGAAGCTGGCGGGTGTTGACTCACTTCTGTTATTAAAGCGAGTTGTGAGTGTTCAAAGAAGATCTCTGGAACAATAGAACCACAATACTCTCATGTGTGTGTTTTAAGGAGTTGAACGAAAAAAATACAAATACTGTAGTAAACAACACTTAGCGCTCTCCTCGGCCCAGACGGACGGACACTCGTTTTATATCTGTCATGGCGCTTCTTTAAAGTACGAACTTTAACCTGAACTCTGGGTACCATCTGCTATTTCTGTAGTGATAATATTGTATTTATAAACTTGCCTATACTTTTGAAGAAGAAATCTTAATTTTGTGGAACTTGGGCTTGACGTGAAAACTGAACAATCGGAATAAAGGCAACAGTGATTATTAATATATATGAAAATAAAACGAATATAACAATGTTCTTGTACGTAGTCATGTTAGAGTGACAACAAATGTACTGAGATATATCAAACAAGATTTTTTTTTTTTTTACTTTTTGAATAAGAAAACAAAATCACACATCATCTTGACAATGGCAACCCGATAGAGGAAAAAATAGACAAAAAAAATCATGTTGATAAAACTCTACAGACTAAGAGACCTCAGGGACACTGTTCATTGAGAGAACACCTCTACTAGTCAATAGTTCCAACAAACTAAGACAAAAGTTCCCCCAAGACAAATGTTTCCTGAACCAGATTAAAAGTTATACTGAATACAAACCACCACAAGGACTTACTCCCACCACGACCTTCATCAGCGCCACCTACTAACAAAAGGCGCGCACTAATGACGAAAATATCTCTCCCAAAACAGTAAATTGAAAGAGTAAAAATCTCAACCTCAACCCTCCAGGACAACGTATTTTCAAAGAGAGATATACATTAATAAAACAACTTCAGCACCAGTTGGGAAGTGAAGAAAAAAGTAATAGAAGACGAACAATAGTGAACAAAACTTTTGGAAATTACTTTTTTAGTGTAAATTATAAAAGTTTCAAACTAACTTGTTTTCAGGAGTTTTCTCATTCGGGGAAGAATAAAATCTGCTGGATTAAAATTCCTCTTAAAACAAAAAATGAGTTCTTGTTGTTATCGAAGCCACGTACAGTATTTTACTGTTGACGGTGATGTACAGGGAATGAGCCACGACCACGTTGGGCACTGTGTTAACACTTCATGGACCGTATACAGAGTTTGTGTGTGTGTGTGTACTACTCTACAAAGTCAAAGTATTTAGGTATTCTTAGACATTTCCTAGTGACGAGATTCTCTTGTGAGGTACAGTACATGTGTATTAGGTAGAAGACTAATTTACACACGAGTTCTGAAGAAAAGAAACACTATATAAATAATACTCAACAAGTAACTATAGCTGAATAAACATTAAGACTCGGCAATGAGATACAGAGAGATACAGACACGACTGTTGGGTAAATATTTATCCTACGAGTAAGGAATGCTGCGTGAAGGAGGGGGAATCATAGAATAATAATATGAAGCCTCTGATATCCCAGACTCAGCCAGTCACACTTTGGAAATATTGTCTTCGTATTGTAATAGATAATGGTATAATAATCAGACTTAACATGATGAAATATAGACAATTTTGAAAACAGATAAAAAACAAAATTAATTTATATGTTATAGGGAAAACTATGTATGACTATGTAAGATTAGTTGTATTCCAAAGTTGAAGGATAATGACCAGAAAAAAACTATTGGTATGAGAAGATTTTGAAACATCTAATTCGTTAAAATAATGTGAATAAATAAGTTGACATTAAAGAACAAAGAGATTATGTAAATGAAAATGGTAATTGGCAACAAGTGGAATACAACGATAGGATAAAAATTAAACATACCGACGACTAAGAAATGTGAACTAAACCTAAGAGAAGTAAAATTAATGTTAAATCACAATTACAAATGTTAGAAATGATAAATAAAATAAACTTATGTCATAATTGGAATTAAACATCAAGAAGATACTGCCTCTACTTCTTGTATGATTGAAGTAAAAATCTTGGTAAAGTAAAGAGTTAGTCGTCTCCTGTGATGCCTAAAACGTTATCACTTATTACATCTCCTTATGAATGTCTTTTGCTGTTGGAATATTTTATGGTATCGGGTCTTATTCTATGATCCTTTAACAGAATGTAGGGGAGAACTATATAAAAAATAATATTATTAATTACCTCATGATTATGCAAACATGGTCGTGATAGGATAGTCAATAAGGCTTTTGACTTATGCTTTTATAACTTTTATATATATATGTAAACTTAATGAAGTTTTATGTAAGCAGTCGATGATATTTACTTTTGTATACTTCCACTTAGATATAAATACTCAATGACTTACGTGTATTTAAAGGACTTACTGATATGTTTGTGTTTGTGTTATTTAATGGATCTCTTATTTTAAGTGATCAACTATGGTTATGTAATAATAATAATTTCAACAACATTTCAGTGTCGAGATAAGTCTTAATTGAACTGTATAATTCGTGATGATTTCAACATTATCTCTCTTCTCTTTCAACTTCCCCAAATAACATGTACAGTAGACAGAACAAGTAGCGTCTCTGTGTGTAATTTTCCCGAGGGGTTAACGTCACCTCATGTAATGACATTGTGAATGAGGTATACTTGATTATAGTTGTGTGTATAATTATGGTAGTATTCTTGTATAATTGAAATGTATTCTATGCCAAAAAATAATCCAAAGCTATTACGTAAAATATAATTTTTGTCATTAACCCTTCAAAGGTAAATAAAGGAACACTACCTTCGTGTTCATTAGAAAATGGTGCAGTGTCAGATGGAGCCATCAAACAAATTAATTATTCCAAAGAAACCCGAGTGTTTCTTGTATAATCTATTTGTTCAACAATAATCCCAAGTATTGTATCATCCCTTGGCACTCTCGCCTCAGGAGAAGGACCTCCAGTGCCACTAACGGAGGATCCTTGAGAAACTTACCCCAAGATTTATACGAACATTACCCGAGGAGAAAGTTACGGCCTGAGTAAGTTTTGTATTTATGAACGCGGCCGGAGGCTGGAACAGCCAGATGAACGCACCCGGGAATAAGGAATTCCCAGTTCAATCTAATTGGAATTCAGTAAGAGGAGCACTTACTCGCGCTCATCGTCAGGGGTGAGAGGGATCCTGTTAATGTAAAGCCCGGCAGGCAGCGCTAACTCCAACTTATTGCAAATTCAGATGAGCAGAAGAGGCGAATCAGATCTTTTCCTCTGACTGATTCTGAATCTCTTTGATGTATTTTGTCTCTAATATCCCGCCGACAAATCCTTATATAGCTCACAGATCAAACTGGGTTTTTATATCATTTAATAAACGACAGTCAAAGAAAATTGGGTTTTATTGGGTTGCTTAGCATGTAAAACTTAAAATTTACCTTAATTGAATCGCTGTGCTTGACCGGCATTATTAGGCAGTTGGTGTAATTAGTGGCCCAAGTCCCGGACGTCGAGGTAATTATGTTGGAAAACTGCCACCGGAGTTGGACTTACCGCTTGATTTCTTGCTTAAACTGGAGTAACATTAAACCCCCAAATAAGGATATATCTTATTTTTCTAATATAATTATTTTTTCTTTATTAACTACATGTCTCTTTGCTAGTAGAGGCTCAAAGACAAAAGCTGTCTTTATAACCTTATTATTTAACAGAGACTTAAGACACAGTACAATTAATACAACTACTTATCCATTACGCTGCTGGCTTCTTTACGTTCTGACTCTAACGTAAAACATAATTAAGGTGTAGACATAGGCGACGTAGTTACTCGCTCGTGGTCAACAGTTATCCATCTACCTCATAGAGACGAACTAAAAATACAGGGACTTGAACGGAGAAATTTCACATATACCTGTATACACAAATACACAACTTAAAAAAAATTTAAAAAATTATTTCATTATTATCACCTTCTGGTGTTCTAAGCAGTCAGCCATCATTGTGTTATATTCAACGATACATTTTGCACATCATACATACGAACAACATACAAACAAACAAACAAACAAACAAACAAACAAACAAACAAACAAACAAACAATCAAACCCAAAAATCGCACCATGAATAAAAAGGCATCACATCCATACAACTAAAAGTCTTAAAAGAAATAATCGAATCCTCAGCCAATTCTTCATTCTTAAGAGCCCATCGTGATGTTAAATTCGACAGCGATGCCAGGCTGTAACTTGGGGCTCTAGTTGAGAATTTTGGCAGAGATGGTCGCAGTTTGTCAAGTACTATGGCTCAGGGGGACAGCGAGGTGAGCAATACATTCAACAAGATTTGTAGTCAGCTGTTGCAAGATTCATCGTTGCAGACAAGAGGGACGGCGAGGAGATCAACACGAGCCCCTGGTTCCTGGTGATCACTACTCTGGGTGATACAGGACTAGTGTTGTGGTGTTAAAAGTGTTTTGGTGTAGGTGGTGTTAATGGCTCGTTAGTGGTATTTTGGGTCTATGGTGTTACGATGCTGATATTTTTTGGTGTAGATGCAATGGTGTTAGTGGTGCAAAATTTTTATTTATTTACTTTTATTTATTTTTTAACGGCATTAGCCCACCCGGGCACAGGTCACTGACCCACTTCAGGGCCTGGGGATATAATAATAATAATAATAATAATAATAATAATAATAATAATAATAATAATAATAATAATAATAATAATAATAATAATAATAATAATAATAATAATAATAATAATAATAATAATAATAATAATAATAATAATAATAATAATAATAATAATAACCATAAATAAATACAAAATGAAAAAAAAAATTAAATCAAGAGTGAGAAACGATATACAGTATGTATGTTGTGTTGCCAAGGTACGAGAAACAATTCAGACCCTGCAATTGTGTGTAAATGAGGCAGAAAGTCAGATCAGCAACCTGGGACTTGGTCACAAATTTTGTGATGCCATATGGCAGCAGGGTCTACCATTAGACAACACATTATGCTTCCAATATCTTCCCAGGCGGTAGTACCTCCCTGTTTGATAGCTGCCTACTACCTACTGGTGCTATTACTGCTAGAAGTGTTGTGGTGTTAGTGGTACTGTAGTGTTAGTGGCGTTATGGTGTAAGTAGTGTCGATATTTCATCGTCATATAAGAGGATTCGGTCTCGTATGGGCCTTTGAGAACCTTCGAACTGGTAAGTGAAAGATAGTGAAACGCAGCGTGTGTTGTCCGTAGAGTTTTACATCCCGCGGGGAGAATGCTGCGGGTAGTAGGGGGGAAACCGATCGTTGCCGCCGTAGGTAGTAACACGTTTTATTCTCTCTCTATCTCTCTTTTTTTATCGCTCACCATCTTTCTCTCTCTCTTACTTTTGTATTTTATATATTCTTCTATCGTTTCTCTGATTGTCCACTTTTTCAAATTTTCAACTTTCACTCTCATTCCCTGTAATTTATTGCACGTTTTCTCTTAACTTTGTTTTTTTTTTCTTAATTTGTGTTTTCTCTCTTTACCTCTTTTTCTCTCTCACTTTCACTATAATTTCACTCACTTTTTACCTTGTCAATCTATACATCAGTCTCTCCTAATCTAAATTACAATTGTTTACCCATATTAAACCGATCAGTTCAATGTGGCTAAATCTCTATCTCTCCCTCTCCCTCTTTCCCTTTCTCTCTCTTACTTCTCCCATTCTTCTCCCATTCTCCTTCTCCTTCTAGCCCACAGAGCTGTTGTTCTCAAGTCCCCTCTCCTGCCAAGAACCTATTCCCCTTCCCATTCAGGGCCATCGATACTCGTAAACAGTCTCCCCTCAACATTTTCCCTTCGTTTCCATGGAAGGGATGGAGGGAGGAGGAGAGGCGGGGGGGGAGGTAAGGGGTGAAGTGAAAGGAGAAAGGGGGGAGTGGATGAAGAAGAGAATGGAAGGAAAAGGGAGAGGGATGAGGGGGAAGAGAGGAGTAAGGAGAATGAAAGAGATAGGGAGGAGAACGGAGGGGATGTGAACATTAGGGGAAAAGGAAAGAAACTGTTGGAGAGAAAGTTAGACTGAGAGACAGAGTTGGGGGAGGCGGTGGAACTTTCAAAGAGAAGACAGATGAAGGGTGAAGAAAGGTGGCTGAGAAGAGAGATGAGGGGGAGAGAGGGAGAGAATTAACTGTCTGAGGGGAGTATAAAAGGAGAGGGGACAATATGGTGGTGGGGAAGGGTGTACTGATAAAGGGGGAGGGGAAAGAGAAATTAGGGAGAAGAGGAGTAGTTTACAGGAATGAGGAGAGGACGAAGAAGATAGAGCAGATGGAAAAGGAGGAGTATTAAGAGAGAGAGAGAGAGAGAGAGAGAGAGAGAGAGAGAGAGAGAGAGAGAGAGAGAGAGAGAGAGAGAGAGAGAGAGAGAGAGAGAGAGAGAGAGAGTGCCCATTGCTCGCCACACGAGGGGAAAGTTGGACCATTCATCTCTCCCACTCCACATATCAAGTGTCGCCATATGACTGGAGAAGCGACCTATTCATAGTTACGTGGGGTAGGAGGCTGGAGTGTCACCCGAGATGAATGGAGGTCGACCAACTGCGTTATCCAGTAATTGCATTGGTGAGGAGCTGGTGTGTAAGTGGCGGGGTAAATAAGGGGGAGTATTTGTGTTCTCTTTCAATAGACTTACGTTACTGAATATCTTGAATAAACTCATTTTTTGGGGGGTGTTGGTATTATGGTTTATTTTCATACAGTATATATATTTTTTTTTTTTTAGGGGTCGTTTTATGGTTATTTTTTATTGTTGTTCTGATTGATTTGATGGGACGTTAGTTAACTTTCAATTTGCTATTCAGATATTGAGTAACCGAGGAGAAATAATCCTGATTCTCAATTGCCGTATTTTGATTCAATTCATAATCTATATTTTTTTTTCTTAGCATCATAATTAGTGTCATCTATGTTTTCGATGTTAAGATACGTAATGAATAGCGGGAACAAATACACATAATAATTTAATGACACTTGAAGGTGAACGATATTATATATAAATAACAGATTACCCCTCCAAAAAATATATGACTTTGATTACATAAGAAAAATAGCATTGAGATACCTTATGGTGGCCAATTAACCTCATATTTTTCCGATTTTGGAATAGAAAAATGTTTATTGAAAATAGATAAGTTATTAAGATGTAAAATGATAAAAATAAATGACGTGAAATAAAAGTAGGTCGAGTCGTTTAAGGAGAAAGAAAATGATAAGAATGACGAAATAACTTTTATAAAATTTGCTTTAGTGTAGAGGTTCTTAACGACGTTGTGTAATAAGTACTGCCAGACTGACACACGCACACACACACACACGCGCGCACACACACACACACACACACACACACACACACACACACACACGCACACACGCACGCACGCACGCACGCACGCACACACACACACACACACACACACACACACACACACACACACACACGCACACACACGCACGCACGCACGCACGCACACACACACACACACACACACACACACACACACACACACACACACACTGGTCTAGCCCCCTCTGTTTATCTCTACTTTAACTCAGTGATTCAGAGCGGTATTAAAAACTCAGCGTGTGTAAAAGGCGGACCATCTGGATATATTACCAACTTTTGTACAGTGGTTACCAGGATATTGGTAACATTCGGCTGTATGTTTCTCTTGCGTAGTGTGGCTGAGAATTGCTCGTTTCTTCCCCAA